TATTCTTATTTTGAAAAAATTGTTTTTTAACATTTGAATAGGTCTTTACCAAAATGAGTAAGAATAAAAGCGAATCAAAATTCCGCGGTCTGCGGTCAATCTTAGATCGTACGACATCGCGGAGGTATACTCTACGACAGAGGATGACGCACCCTCCTTCATATTTTAAGTATGTGGGTTTTCGACATGAGCCATTATAAGTTCGAGGACGCGCGCGCGAGGCGCGTGCACGGGAGACGGGGAAAGAAAGGCCGAGAAAGAGGTGGCGGTACACGGGAGTGAGGAAAAAAACGAAGAGAGAGAAAGAAAGAGAGAGAGGCAGCGAGAGGCAGGTGCATCACGGTGACACTCCCTCGATAATTCTCCGGAGAGAAAGAGAGAGAATAAGAAGAAAGGGAGACGGACATAGCCGCGCACGCCGGAGAAAGAAAAAGAGAGGAGGACCTAAGTCACGAGTGTTGTGTCTGGAGCTCGTTTATGGTCGTTCGCTTAAACTCTCGCGCCAGAGGAAGGAGAATTTCGAAAATGGCGCTGTCGTGGGGTTCGGCCGACGTACCCCAGAATGCTGAGCGGTGCGACGATATGTGATATCTCGCAATCGAAAGAGAATTGCGAGGCTCTCGATGGGTCTCACTCGGAATATTCAATTCCCAAAAGACAATCTTATTTCAAACCAGAAATTGCGCGCAAATATTTACTGCATGCCGGCAAAAAGAGTCACGCATATTTATCAGCAGACAAATATGTCTGATTTTCTATTTGAAACACATGTACCAAATACATAAAATATAAAAAGTACGACCAAAAAAATTATCTAGCACAAACAAAGTGACGTTCGATCAGTCTTGCTATATGTAAATCATGTGTGCTTGCTAAATCACATTTTATCGAAGCTCGCTACTTCCTGAAACAAACTCGCATCCAGGTAGATTTATCCGTCTGAGTCACACTGTACGCGGTATAATTTTAGATCCGATCGGTCGTTAGGTTCGGCTCCGCGTTTCGCCACATTTCGCGTAATTTCAAATCAGATTATTTTCTTGCGCGAATGTTTATCCTTGCCGATAGATTCTCGGGGATGCACCGCACCGCCGCGGCAAGATGCAACGCGAAGTATAATTTTCGTAGCGCCTGTGCGGCTGCCAGGTTACGAAACGGACGGACAATGAAATGCTTATCTTTCCGACCGCTTTTTATCTCTGTTTATGTACATTACTACACTGTGTTGCGTATCTGATAAAATTTCGATCGATCGGTCAATTACGTTCAGGGAGGAGAAGCCTGGGGAAGGCCCGATGAGTTAATCTTTTCTAAATGAGGGGAAATTAAGACGGACACCGGAAATATTTTCGGTAAGTAGGGTGGATGCTATTTTTGGATACCCTTGCACTTGAACTCAACATCGTACCCTCGACTCTAGAATACTACAGAAAATCAAGCAAAGATGTTATATTATACGGCCTAACTTCGCATATGAGAACAAGAGAAGTTATAATATTATTCGTTATTATCGTTTAAAATTACACTTATATATTGATATAAAATAATTAAATTCAATTGAAAATTAATCAATTGTTATCAATAATTAAAAATAATATAAAAATTCTATAGCAGTTAATATTTTGTTGCTGTTACGCAACGTCACCGTTCTCCACGCACGATTAGACCGAAATTCAATACGAACTGTTTGCAAAATAGCGAATAGAGCGATCATATCGTAGATTGAAGGCTCGCGACCGTCGTAATACAGCTCGTTAAATATGGTACGCAAAGTAATACGAGCCTTAATAATGATTGTGGTGCAATATGGTCGTCTTTGAAGCGAAACAACAATCGCTGAGATTTAACGGGCCGAAACGACGACGACTGTCTCATAGTTATCAAATTATGAGATACGAGACTCGACGAACCTGACACCCAGTATAAACATTCCAGAATAAATCCCGTCGATTCTTACCGCAACAGTTTCTCGATCGCACCGAGTATAAAGATATTTAATATTTTGTTGTTCAAACTATATAATTTCAACGCGAAGATCGTTATTAAATATTCTGTTACCGATTTAACGTTATTGATAACATAATAGATTTTATCGTGATATTATTTAACGAAACATAAAAAAATACATTTCAATATAATAGTTTGCTATTTCGAATATTTGAGAAAATTATATGGAAAATTATCAAAAACCACTGTGTAAAGCGTTGCGACCGCAAATAAGAAACTTTGCCCTTTCTTGCTGCTCTTCTCTTCGCCGCCCTAGAAAGTTTCATGGGAAATGCATTGCCGCAATATAAATTATATTTAACCGAATAGCCGGCAGCCGAGTTCCCGCAGCGTTTCAAAGGAATATGGGAACGCGTCGGATGAGGCGTCTAAAAGGCGTTTTTGCGGTCTCTCCGAACCGCTCGGCTGTGCCGAACTTAGCCTACGAAAGGGCCTACACCATCGTCTTCCAAACAGCGTCTCAAACCAAACAAACGTTTGAGACTCAGTTACAAACTATGCCGCGGACTACCGCGCAAACACATCTCGCTCGCCCGCTTTGCTCGTAATCACGAGTTTGCCTTGTACGCGATAATTAGTATGGGAATTTCGCGGTTTCAAAAAGCCTTGTAGAATTATCAAAATTGTGCGTCATTTAAATATATGTAAATAAGTAATAATCGTGAAAATAGCTCGATAGATACATAAATCAAGAAGGTATATTTGATATATAAACAATGCTCCAAATACCACATGTTTCAAATGATTCTTATGAAAATATTTAAAGTGGAGATTTTCTTGTGAGAATATTATGAAATAAAAATAAAGACTTACATCATGTGTCTTTGTTGTCTTTTCTAAAATAAATATATGTTATTAGCTTCAGCATATTTATTTCTAGCTCCTAGAATCTTTCATGTCAATTTTCCTCATTTAGTTAATAGAGAAGCGTAGAGAAGATAACAGAAATTAATAACAGGTATTTAGAACGAGTGGATTCTAATCAGAATTTGACACGTGCCACGGCGATTGAAAATTTATGCAAGATGAGAACCTCTTTCGAGAGGTAACGCACGATTCCGCGGCACGCAACGGCGCATCGCTCCGTGGCTGCTTCTCTGGCAGGTGTATGAAGCGAGAAATAAAAGAAAAACGCGCGGAGGCTGAATGCCGAGAGAGCGAAAGGAAGAGAGGGGGAGAGAGAGGGCTCGAGAAAGAGGGAGAAAAAAGGATTCGATTTATGGACTCTTGCATTACATCCAAACGATTAACCGCTAACGATTCGTACCGCCGCAGCGACGTCCTGGCACGTGGTTATGAACGTATGCGAGAAAAATAACCGAGCCAATCGTTTTCGTCTATTCGCCGTCGGGAGAGAAGCGGCATCGCAACGGCGATCGCCTTTTTCCCGGAAACCTCCCTATCGGCGCTCTCTTACCCTCACCCATTCATACCCACGCATACGCGCATACACTAAACGTACATGAACATATCCACACATTCGCTCTCGGTTCGTCGTTCAACACTGTTGCACATGACAGCTAGTAGTGACGGACGTCTGTCTAACGTGTCTAGGTTATGTTATTCGCAATCCGGCACGGCGCCGCGACGCACGCAAGGGTGAAAAATTTTGTGCCGACGGAAGGAAAAAATTGCGGCGTCGGAAAAGACAACCAGGACGCGGGGAACACGAGGCAGAAAGCCGTTGCTCTCGGGCTAGTTCTCGTCAACGGGGCAGCACTGTCCAGGGCACTGACAGACGAACCAAAACACAGAGCGAGGTAGCCGAGACGGAAGCCGAGAACGATACGATCGTCCGACGCGACGATTCTCGGCACGATCGCGAGCTCGATCGACCGTCCGAGACTTTAAATGGGGCTTTAAATACGCACGCCGCACCGAATAAGACACTAGACACATCAGAAAAGGAGACAGACAGATAGGCAGAGAGAGACGTCCGTCGCTTTATTTTCCACACGGACCACGCACGGCGCAGGTATCCGCAGGAGAGACATGGCACTACCGAAATCGCACACTCACCAGGCTGCTTGTTGGCGATCTTATTGAAGCAGTTCTGAAAGACCTCGTAGAGATGCATCGGCTCATCGTCGGCCGCCATGTTTTCGAACGAGACGTGAAACGAGTGGACGTTCCGTGGTCGAGGCGAGTGGGCACGGTTTCGCGGTGGAGCCGCGCGCGGAGCCACTGGAAACCACCCTACTCCCGTTACGATCACCCACACTACTGAAACACACTGCTTCACGAATGCGGCTCTTATACCGCGCGGCTGGCGCCGCCGAGTGTTCGCACTCGAGCGCCGCCACGCTCGAGCGCAGTCTTCGAATCGTAATGATTAAATCCACCTCAATCTCGACGAATGCAATTTCTGGTACTGCAAAAAATAAAAATACATATCTTGCATTAATTAAGCGACTCCACAAAAAAGAAGACATCAGATTTTTCTTACTTTTAAAAACAAAAGAGTTTATGTGAGAATTTCAAGGAATAAAACTTTTATAACGCGGATAGAAAAAGGGCAATGGAAATATAATTTCCATCAAATTGAAAAAGATGGTTCTTTTCAGAATCATTTTATTTCAATAACAATGTTTATGTTAAAATTTTTTTTATTCACAAATTGAGAATAGAAATGGTTATACAGAATAAAATCTGAATATATTAAATGTGTTAGGTACATATACCTATGTAAAAATTTACAATTTACATTATATTTGAATCATATTTTGTGATTAATTAAACAGGTCAGTAAGAGGCATACAATTCAAATATTATCATCAATTAATTAAAGTAACTTATGCCTTTAACATTGTCATACATCATTCATCAATAAAATACATCAGTAAAATACATATAAAATACATTGCAAGATTAAACAAAAAAATAGAATTTTAACATTAATAAATTACAATATATAATTTTTGATTTTACATAAAATCATAAATTGTCTTCTAAATATATATGCGTAATATATATAACATAATATTAATAAATAATCTCACAAAATGTCATCTAAAAAATATTATATAAACATATATATATATATATATATATATATTTTGCATGGATTTAGAGTTGTGCAATTTCAAGCAAAACTCTTTTCAACCCCCCTTGAATATTTTAAACCCCATCAAAATCAGAGTTTTGTGGGACAGGATGAGATATATCTTCGTAGTCTTGCCGGCCGTAACCTGTAAATCATTTAAATAAAGTAACGTGCTAACTTATTAAATTTAAACAACTATTAAGAAGCAAAGAATTGCGACACACTACAATTTCACACAACATAAATTCAACCCAAAAGCAGTTCTGAGAAAAAACTGAAATGAGACACAGAAACATCTATGACAATTAAGAGAATTGAGTTTATTAATGTATAAAATAATTTCCAATAAAGCACACATAACAGTCATGCACATACTTAAAATCAGATCTTGATGAAGCACTGATGTACTACAAAAGCGTGGATGCGTAATTTACTGATGCAATCCAGTGGTTTACTGACCCATGGCAGGACTTGGTGCAAATACCGTGGCTAAGCTGCCATTTCTTCCTTGACCTATTCTCAGCAGATATATACTTGTAATAGGGCGAGCAATCAAATTTATGATCATAAGGGCTGCACTAAACTTATTAGCTGCACCTAAAAGTTCATGCAATCAAACACGTTTTCTGCATGGAACAAACTAATAAACAACTTATAATATCTCATTTTCTTATTGATAATGAAAAAATGTTTATATATATTTACACAATATATACTTACCACCGTACTCTGGAAAGTACACTGATAAAGTGATCACATCGAGAAATATAGCGACTATATTTATGAAAAGTGCCTATAAAAAATTGATAAAAGTAGTTTCAACTAAAGAAAAATAATTTTCTTTTTTCTAACTTCTTCAATAACTTACAAATTGGAGTGGTTCATCTGATTCGACATTATGAATAGCCCACAATATACAAACAAAAAATAGCAAGTTATAGACCAGTACAGATTTAGGACACCAACTTCCTTGAATACCCCTGTAAGGTATTTTATACGATACAGGTTATGATACAAAAAATAAATGTGAATTCTTACAAATGTAACACAAAATCAATACTACAAGTTATTCTTACCATGTCACAAGTATCAAATGAATTGCAAATATGACCTGAAAGAATACAATAGTAAAAAATAATATTTTATGTTTTTTTCTATCATTACAGAACTTTATTACATGTATAAGTAATTAATATATCAAAAAAATAAGTATGAATTCACATATACATGTAGTATCAATCTACTTACTTATTTATTTAAAACATTTTCGACGCCAATTACGGTGACAAGATGCGTATAAAAACATTGAAAATACATAACACAAAAAAACAAGAAATGATATTTACATACCTTTAAAGGAAAATGGGATAAATTGGTTATATTAGGCATGTTTGTTGCGTGACAGTAGCTACTACACAAATAATGAAAAAGTAATGACTGATTAATAGCGTATAAAAATATCTCTGACTGACAGAGCTAATCTAATCTTTTTTTCCGCCTACAATTTCAGTTCGGCAACAACACAAAGCACATCTCAGCAGTCTATTGCGTATGTCAGCTGTGTGGCAGCGCTTTTCAAGATTGCTGCCATCTAACATTATTCTACCAAACTGTCTTAAAATTGCAAACTAATTTTGCAATGGTTCAATCGATATTGCAATTTTGCATATATCCGACACAATCTACCACAACAATTTACCGTTGGCTATTTATAATCTCAAATATCTTAAATGAGAGGGTAAAATAGCAAAATATGGGGTCATTTTCTTTCCTTATTTGCACAGCATGTAGTAAAGAACAAAAAAAATGCTGCATGTTGAGTCTTTTTATATTTAGAATATACGTAAACAAATAATTAAAATAATAAATAATAATAATAAGTAATAAAATAATAAAAAATAATAATAAATAAAAAATAATAAAGAATAATAATAAACAAATAATTTAAATATAGCAAATTACAGAACAATAAACTGTATAAGATCTACATACTTGATTATGATCACACATTATTTGTACTTGGCATTTTGGTGAGAAGATAACAAGATGCACGAAAAGAATTCGATAGTTTCGAGCATACATAAATTGCGTTACGACGAACACTTTACTTGCGCATAATAAACTCCTGATAATTCGCACATGAGACTCATTTTCAAATAATAATTGCGAAAAATACGAAACAATTTGAACTGTTTTTCTTCGCGATGTGTTTTGATACTGGCTACAAGGCGAAATTGATCGAAGAGCGCACTGATTGCGATTCTCGAAATGTTGAAGCGTTAACGTAGCGTAAACTTCACACAATTGAACGTAGAAATGAGATTCGGCATACTTTAACAAACATCAAAGAAATAATCGAAATAGCGTATTGTTATAAGAAATATAATCAACAACGCTAATTATAAAGCGATATATGCATGTACCCCCAATGCACTTTTGTCACATCTCAGAGAACGATTTTAAGATATCCCGGGCGGATACCGGGCCAGTACCGGTGTCGCGATGCTGCAAAATAGCGACCGTGTATGGTGTTCCATGCTTTGCGACGAAAACTCGACTCGAAGCACTCCCGATCGGTCCCGTACGCGAGATTCACTTTAAGATAAAAACACACGAGAAAAATATGGAGCGATTTCGATCCGACTCTCGATCCGCCGCGACGCGTTCCATAAGTGATTCAGACTGACCACAATTCGAAATTTATCAAAGATTGCATGCACTGCAAACTGCAATTTTCAGTGCGTTAAAATGCCAACACGATGCAAACTTCATGCAATAACAAAAAAAAAAATAAACTTTTATACTTTTATCAGTTGTATATGTAATCATAATCCTAGTATATAATTAGTTGTACATATTACAAAATATGAAAATGAGTATTCATTCATGATAAGATAAGACGGTTGGTGTTTAGTTTCTCATAACCTCAAATCACGTCACTGCTCGTCTCAATTATTATTTTCAATTATTCGTTTTTTATACATTCTATTTAATAATGTTACTCAAAAGTCGGTATATATTCAAGCATTTTCGACCGTTTGTAAAATTTTATCATGAAGAAGCGTCTATTATTGGTAAAGTAGCAGACACCAGCTCATCAGTTTATCAGGTTAGGAAGTATACACATAATGTATCATTTTTCTTGTAATTTTTGTATTATTATTTTCTAAGAAATGCAACAATATTATTTATAAAATTATATATATAAATCTAAATTAGTATGTTTATAAATATTATTATTTCATATTAAGCATGTACTATATATTTTAATTAGAAATTAAAACAGAACTTCCATTTAATGAATAAGTTATATGTTTAGCAATATAGATATAATTATTTGCAATGTTGTAGAAAAATTATGCACAAATGAAAGAGCTTGTGGATCAATTGAAAAATACTGTGGAAAAAATAGTTGAAGGTGGTAAACAAAAAGCTAAGGATTTACATGTAAGCAGAGGAAAGCTTTTAGTTCGAGACCGATTAAACACTCTTTTGGATAAGAATTCACCTTTCTTAGAATTGTCACAATTGGCAGGCTATGAAATATATAATGAAGAAGTACCATGTGGTGGAGTGATTACTGGCATTGGTAGAGTAGAAGGGTAATATATGATAAAACCAATATTATATTCTATTTTTAACATACTTTTTTGTCAGATATTTTTCTTTTCAGGACTGAATGTATAATAATTGTAAATGATCCCATTATAAAGGGTGGTAGTTTTTACCCTATCACAGTCAAGAAGTACTTAAGAGCTCAAGAAATTGCAGAAGAAAATAGATTACCCTGTATATATTTAATAGAAAGTGGAGGTGCAAATTTGCCTTTGCAGGCTGATTTATTTCCTGATAAAATGCACTTTGGCAGAAGTTTTTATAATCAAGCAAAGATGAGTGCTAAAGGAATAGCCCAGATTGCAGTAGTTATGGGAAGTTGCACAGCAGGTTTGTTATGATTTTTTATTGCTATATTATAAATTTATTGATTTGTAAATTTATTATTAAAATAAACAAACTTAATAAGTTTATTATGTTAATTATATATATATGCCATAGGTGGTGCCTATGTTCCTGCTATGGCAGATGAAAATATTATTATTGGTAATCAAGGTAAAATATTTCTGGCTGGTCCACCACTAGTAAAAGCTTCTACCGGTGAAGAAGTTTCAGATGAGGATTTGGGAGGAGCTGCGATTCATTGTCGGTAATTACTTTAGATATTGTTAATTGTTAAAACAATTGATATATAGATGTTAATTATTTATAATATATTCAATTATAATTTCTAATTCAATTAAAATTTTAGACAATCTGGCGTTACTGATCATTATGCAATAGACGACACACATGCTTTGCATTTAGCACGTCGAATTATAAAAGATTTAAATCGTCAACTGCCTATGGATGTGAATATCAATAAAAATATTGAACCGCCCGTACATGCTGTGGATGAAATTTATGGCATTGTTGGAACAAATTTGAAACGCCCGTATGATGTAAAAGAAGTTATCGCGAGGATCGTAGATGGCTCAAAATTCCATGAATTTAAAGCTCTGTATGGCGAAACCTTAGTCACCGGATTTGCTCAAATTTACGGTTATCCTGTGGGCATAGTCGCAAACAATGGCGTATTATTTTCCGAAAGTGCTTTGAAAGGAACTCATTTTATACAACTTTGCGCTAAAAGAAAAATCCCTCTTATCTTTTTGCAAAATATCACAGGTAAGATTAGGAAGCCATTTATGTATTATTTTATTTCATAATTTTACGTAATACGCACTTATAAATTATTCAATATAGGATTCATGGTGGGTAAAGATGCAGAAGCAGGAGGTATAGCCAAAAATGGTGCAAAAATGGTGATGGCAGTATCATGTGCACAAGTACCGAAGATTACAGTAATAATTGGAGGTTCCTACGGAGCTGGAAACTATGGTATTTCATTTTTTTTGTTGTAGCTATTTTTATATTTTATTTATAAAGAAAGAGATTTAAATAATAATACATAAATATGTGACAGGAATGTGTGGACGAGCTTATTCCCCACGCTTTCTTTATTCCTGGCCAAATTCTAGAATATCTGTAATGGGAGGGGAACAAGCAGCTAGCGTATTGGCGCAAATCAAGAAAGATCAACATTTAAGAGAAGGCAAACAGGTATGATTTAACTTTTGTTTATCTTTATATTCAAAAATTGATTTATATTGCAATTTTGTAGTGGACTCAAGAGGAGGAGAATAATCTCAAGAACCCTATTATACAACAATTTGAAAGGGAAGGCAATCCATATTATTCTAGTGCCAGGTAAGCTTTTTTTGTATACAAATAATTAATTTCATTTGTATTAATATTATATTGATATATTTCAGATTGTGGGATGACGGTGTGATTGATCCGGTTGACACACGAGTTGTACTTGGTCTAAGCTTGTCTGCGACTTTAAACGCACCTATACCTGACACTAAGTTCGGAATTTTCCGAATGTAACATACGTACGAAAGTACATACAAAAATGTATGAAAGTATATCTCGAAAGTACTGCGTTATTGTTAAACTTTGTACGTTATATTATGTTTCTAACATTAAGTCGAAACTTGGGTTACACTTTATAAAGTATTTTTATACGTAATATTTTATAAGTAGTATATTTTGTACACTGTTGGCATTCCAAATATATATATATATATATCAAATCTAATAAAAATATACATATATCTTGTTATATTTTATATTGATTAATGATTTTAATATTTGCGTTTCTTCTCCTTAAATGCATCTCTATTTGATAAAAGTACACTATTTTCAATAATGCAATAGAAGCATTTTGTTTGAATTGAGATTGGTCTAAATTCTTCAAATATATTATTGTAATTGTGTTTACTATCACAAAATTATGTAAATATTTAATAGACAAATAATTGTACTCACATACACACATAGATGATGTATTGCAGTATGATGCTGTATTTGCTACAAATTTCACTCTAAATTATTCAGCAGCAGCTCGATTGAAAAATTAATTAACATCACAAATCCGCACTTAATTACGTAAACTACCGGACGAAGATCAATTCGTAAATTTCACTTTGGAAACAACATGAATATAAAAAATGACGTCTGAATTTGTTACATTGCGGTATCATCTATCACACGAAAATCACATTGTTAATCAGAAACAATCACGTAAATAATACATTCTAGCAATTGTTCGTCATTTCTATCGACCGCTCGACATAAATTTACTTTTGTTATGTATTTCTAAAATGACTAGAACAATACAAGCGCGCGCTACGCGCGCGCACTTATTATTATAATTTAATAATTATAAAATCTAAATATTTAAAAAAATTTTTTAATTTTAAATAACCGTCAAAATAACTTTTGCTCTCAAACTATCAAACTGCCAGAATAATCAAGATAACAATCAGCGTCGCAAAAAAGCGTCAACAATACTTTCGATACATTCGAGTATCGATTTTTCATGCTTTTTTTAAGAGTGGATTCAAGTAAATGATTTTTTTGATTCCAAGTAAATATTCACTTGAATCAAGTAAATATTTTTTTTATTCAAGTAAATAAATTTTTTTATTGAAATAAATATTTATTAGAGAATCAAGTAAATATTTATTAGAATCAAGTAAATATTTATTAGAATCAAGAAAATATTTATTAGAATCAAGTAAATATTTATTAGAATCAAATAAATATTTTTTTATTTAAATAAATATTTATTTTATTCAAATAAATATTTATTAAAATCAAGTAAATGATTTTTTTTCTTCATGTAAATATTTATTAAAATCAAGCAAATAATTTTTTTTATTTAAGTAAATATTTATTAGAATCAAATAAATATTTATTAGACTCAAGTAAATATTTATTAGAATCAAGTGAATATTTTTTTGATTTCAATAAATATTTTTTTGATTCAAATAAATAATTTTTTTTTATATATAATTTTTTGTGTTCAAGTAAATATTTATTAGAATCAAGTACTTTCAAATACTTCAAATACTTTCGAGATTTCGATACATAAGACTATCGACTTCTCATGCCTTTTTTAAGAGTGGATTAAGACTACTTTTATCACAGATAAAATACACGACTAATCGTAAAACGTTTCCCGCCTATTTCTTTGCGTTTCCTGCTCTCTAGCGGGAAAAAACTCACCTTTACTTGCAAGGTAACACCTATTTCTATCCTATCATCTTTTGATCGAATTATCATACCGACCGTATTTAATTTCTTTCGGTTTTCACAAGCTTCACTTTGATTGAAAATGCGCGAACGTTTTACGATTAATCATATACTTGCTTCGAGTTAAAAGTATTTTATTCGTATTAAAAGTGCACAATGCGATTTTTATCGGGAGTGCCGAATAAAGTGTCGGGCGATTACCGGGATGTGTTGTTTACCGCGGATGTTCGCGATTAACAGTGTTTCGTTGATCGTTTGGCGACCGACCATGAATGCAAATAGGTTATAATTCCGGTAAGTATATTTCGATGTTGTAAACACACGAAATAATCCATACGTTTACTTAAAAGAACCGAAAAGCGACGTATTTTTCACTAGACATAACATGTTTAATGTTTGACTCGTAGAAAATGAATCAAGTAAACCGTACTTGTTAACTGTGTCGCCAAGATGATCATCGTGCGTCTTTCTCGCTCCAAGTCCGTAAACGTATCAAATCTACCGTCTGCCGAATATGTAAGATGAATCACGTATATTATGTGTGTGTGCACCGCAAAATGTGTTTCGTAAGTAATGCATAAATGCGAGCCGGACCTTTCGTCCGGTAATGCGCATAACCAAGTGTAAGTTTCTGAAAATCAACGATTCTTCGAGAAAGCTGATGCAGAACAGTGTAAACTGGAGCTGGAGCTAATGCAAAATCTGCACAACAAACTACAATACCCTAGCTGGTGAGTATAATTAATTGTTAATTATTTAAATAGTATGTATATAACTGTGATAACACACACTAATATAATTTTGCAATTATTTTTTAAATATTTATTAGAACATTTATTAAAATATCTGTATTTAGTAAAATAATTATTTACACACAATTTATTGCATGTAATTATATGTTAAATAAAAGTAAAATATGTAATCAATAATTAATAATATTAATCAATATACATAAAATGTATGATTTATAATTACTAGAACAATACAGGCGCGTGCTACGCGCGCGCACTTATTATAGTAATTTAATAATTATGAAATCTAAATATTTTAATTAAATTTTTTTTATTTTAAATAACCGTCAAAATAACCTTCGCTCTCAAAGTATCAAACTGTTAGAATAATCGCGATAACCAATCAGCGTCGCGGAATAGCGTTAACAATACTTTTGATACATTCGAGTATCGATCTTTCATGCCTTTTTTAAGAGTGGATTTATATATGTTAATTTTGTTCAGGTATAGCCAGATGGCGTGCTTGGCTAGTGTACAACACCGGTGAGTAAATTTATTCAAACTCAGTGCATAATTGTATAGCTTCAATTTGCATGACACATGTTGCACAAAATATAGATATCATTTGTTATCTTTTTCTTTGTCAATATTTATCACAAATATTGAAAACTATACTTTGACAATCTCATTTACGATTTTACACTTGTAGCAATAAATAATAAAATTAAAATTTTTTTTTTTTCTATCTTAACAATAAAAAATGTTAAATTTTACACAAGTCATATATACAATTTATTGTTCTTACAGTCGTATCTTAATCTTTTTCAAAATATAAATTATATAAATAGATATATATATAAAAATTAATTTTATAAAGCATAATAAAGAAATTAAATTTGAGAAAATTCTAAAATTTTAAAAGTATACAATAAAAGTTATATATAAATATATAATATTTTATATAATTTTAATATATATATATGTGTAATTTTCATTTAATTTTGTTAATAAGTTTAGTGCAGTGAAAAAGCTGTGGTGTTGATAAAATTATTTATACAATAAGTAATATAATCGGAAATCGCAATTTATGCATTTGGTGAGATTTTTTTTGTTGATAGATATTGGGAAATAATGATAATTATGATCAAAGAATAATCGCTGTCACATCAGCAGTCAGTTTATTTAAGTATTTTACATTTATTTAACGTAATAATTAGACTGAGATTACGAATACGCAATTCATAATTACTTAATTAATTAATTAAGTTGCATTGCATTATTACACCTCGTCGCACGACTAGGTTTTCGGCTTTCTCCACTCGCAAAGGCCAATTTTCTTTTAGCAGTTATTCTATCGGCAGTTACTCACAATGTGTAATGGAAACAGTAAAAATTGAAAACTAAAACTAAAGATTGAAACATCACGATTGAAAATTCGGCGGTCGCAGAGCGGAGAAATTTTACATGTTACTATATTAGCGCTAAGATAGTTAATTCATTTTTTAAGCTCTTCACAAATTTCAAATTCGACAATTTTATTTGTCATTCAATTTTGATTTTCTTGTAAATGTATCTCGATATCACATAGAAAGTATTTGTATAAACGGCAATTTTGCATTGTTTTAAATCGTAGGACGGAAATTGCGCTACTTTGTAACGTTAACGTTACAATTCAATTCTTTTCCAATGCTTTTCTAAATATATTTTGACTATATACAGTCGATGATCACTATTGAGTATACGTAAGCACCGTGATCCGCTGTTATTATGATCGAAAAGTCCCGATTATTAGTGAGCAAGTTAACTATCGTTCTCAGAAGCGATACTTCGTATTTTCTTTCACGTTTTTAACATGGTTTAGGTTGCGCTTTATATACAGTTAGCAATTATTTGTCAGGAAACACAAATCTCATCTTCTATAGGAGTTTGTAGAAACAGAGTAGGAGCAAGACGAGATTCAAACTTAGAGTATTACACGAGGAGCGATTGAGTACCATGTCGGTAACCTTGTATTTAAACTTGATTTCCTCCGTGAGAAACGCTCTCTCGTGTGTCCTAATTGTCGTCGGGCCGGACTGCTCCCTGACTTCTTCTGCGATCACTGCCCTCTCCTTTGTGGTCGTCCTGTTTTTCCCCTTTCTGATGAACTCCGAGAGCACTAATAATGCGATACAAAACAACGTAACAGAAGCCATAAACGTGACGAATACACGGCAATTACTCAAATGTTTCATTCATTTCGCGCGATGAAGAAATTTACCTTGATCGATCGTAACATCGTCCGCGATCATATCATCGACTTTGATGAACGTCGACATGGTTACCTCGAACAATTTGTTCTTGTCGGTGCCGGACATTTCAATGGCTCGTCTCTTTCTGCCGAAACCGACTTGGCCGTTGCTGCACTCGATCTGAAGCACATGTACAAATACGCTTAGCAAACTGATCGTAAAACTTTATGAAGTGGATATAAAATGAAGGATAACGACCGTGCAAACTGAAGTCATCGGTTTAATAACCGCACGCTATGAAAAAATAATAAAAAAGCCATACCCCTGGGCATTTATCCAAGCAAACGTTAACGGTACCGCGGAACTGGACGTAAGTGCTTTCCGGAAACTTGAAAGCTCGGAATTTCGCCGTCAAAAAGTCGCCGTCCACAGTGTTGAAGTTTTCAAACAAGTAAGGATCAACGGAGCATCTGTAAAAAATATTTTATCAATTACATAAGATGTTTACAGTCTCGCGACAATCAGTCTCGACGTTAATCAGTCACCCGTTAATGATGATTGTTTCCTCCTGAGTCTTGGTGTCGGTGACCAGCATGTACGTCACTAACAGGCCATAGATCGGCGCTGAATCATTGTCCAGAAATATTTCCATTTGCAACGGCGTACCGGGACTAACGTTGAGTTCACCGGTTACCAAAGTTCCACCCTGCCTTACTCCGACACCGAGGATCGGAACCGGTGCCGCTCCCGAGATTTCGTCACGTATATCAATTACTCTAGAGCAAAAAATAAATTCCTTTCAAATTCAATCTACAACCGCTAAGGATTAGATAGACAGGAAGTAGATAAAGATCAGAACCGTTCAGCACGTTCTTATTAAAAATTATTTATAAGAGATTTAAATTTGTTTTAAATTAAAAACTTTGAATTATTATTAAATATTCTTGTGAGATTTCCTTCGGTTATAATATATTTTTATGAGAGAGCCAAGATGCCTTTTGTGTTTTAAATTACATCTGTGATCAGTTTGGACCATCTGTCTAAACTTATCGGATTGTTACACGTTGAATCCGCGACGAACTACGCACCGGCAAAATCAAAAACCGCAAGATTCATAATCACACTTATTTTCCGAAATGAAGTCATGAGGGCAAGCACCTGGTCTGTGATCGATGTTGCGTGTCAAAATATGCAATTCTAATCGAGCGGCAGTTTGTACGCGCCACACCGCAAACACATCAAGCTGACCTGTATGCCGTCGCACTTATCTCCGTAGGAAGATTCGACCCACTTTACGGTTTTATGCAAAATCGCAGAAAATTATGCGTACGACCCGATCTATTTTTTTTGAAAATAGGCGCGAATCATCATTTTCGTTTGCATGCGCGTCGCATATTACCGGACGCGTAAATCAATTCCAAACGGGTATGCACGCTCCAGTTTGTGCAGACTCATCTCTCACTTCCGCGACATTATGGCCTTGGACCGAGAGGCGAGCGACACAGATCGTCGAAAAATCGCGTACGATGACAGACGAAGTAATGAAGACGAATGTACGTTAGAATGGGTAGACCGTGAAATTATGCTAGCGGCATAGAAGTCGAAGGCGGCAGAGAAGCGACGCAGAACGGGCCGATCGTGTTCTAAAATAAAAGGTGTGCACACAGATGTGCAGATCCGTACACGAACGTAGATCGATAGCAACGTACCAGAGCGTATATCGAGCACTATTAGCCATTATTATGACTATGACTCGTATTATTTTACACGACTTCGTTCATTCTCCGCTCGATTCTCTCTTTTTTTTTTATTATCTCCGACACGGAACGCGCTTCGTTAAATCACTTTCTGATGCATGACGACCTTTCACATACGCGATACAACAATGTAAAAACTATTTAATTACACAATTTATTTTTATGAGGAGACACGCAATTGTATCAGGCGCACTCGGGAAGATTTCGTTTCGGATATTCAAGCGGTCATTAACGCACTTCACAAACTCCTTGGATTTTTTGTATAGTTAGTTGTACGCAATTCAGATTTTTTTCGGACAAGAACAGAATTAAATCATCTTTTATCAGTCAGTACCGAGGTCATCTCTCAGAGCAGACACATACAGCGCAAGAGTCATGCCACTTCATCGGTAGACAGAAACAGCCCGGGATCTCGGGGGATTTTTACGTCGCGCGTTCCGACCCCGGCAAACTCACCGCCTGATAATTTGACAATAAAGATTTCGCGCGCGACTTCCTGATAAACAAATAGTGCCATAGAAATCCTGGGAATTTGCGCGAGATACGATGCCAAAGACGTACATTCGATTAACGCCGATAAATTAACGCCGTGACGCCCGACGGTCGCGATAAAAATTCTCGCCGTGTTTTCTCGAGAGCACGTCCCCGGAGAGTACTTGAAGAATGTCGACTCGCGAAACGACTTTCGTCGGCCGGCAACGAGAGGAAGAGGTAAGCTCTACCGACAGGCCTCTTCTCTCCGGCACTTGGCTAAAATCGCGCACCGTAGCTTTTCTACCATCTGTAAAGGAACCGTTGCGCAAAGGAATCGTCCGCTCCGTCGTACATCACGCCATAAAATCGACTCTCGTAATGTCACCGTGTGTCTTAACTACGTACCGAACGTTTCCGCTATTAAATTCCACGACAAACTCGATGTCAATCTTGTCGTCGAAAAAATTTCGAGAGATTATTCCTCTTATCGCGAGTCATAATATTAAATTTTTTTACATTCACTCAAGACGTAATTCGAAGAACTGAAGTTCGATTAAATTCAGGAGTGGCTTGGAGAAGAATTCGTCATTTAATTGCATCAAACAGAAACTTATTTCCGTAGACATTTCAGTTATTTCTTCAATCTTCCCATGCCGCGTGCAAAGATACCTATAAATCGTAACATTTCTTTCGTCTATGCAATTTACCTCGGTTCTCAATCATTATTCGTTTCTCGCCGATTTCTGCGTATTCGCGATCGAACCGCATGTTTCCTGGAGCAAGCGTAGAATAGCATCGCATTGGATGTGAGTGACCTGTCGAGTGATTTTCGACGTGGAGGAAGAAAAAAAGCGGGAATGCCGATTAGACTTCGCGTATTGAATTGTATTACAGGTTTTCCAACTGCTGCGCGTGTGTCCGACCGTTGTGCAAATACATCAGGCGGTAGCATCTCAAGTCGTTTGCAAATTATAAAGTCCCGATGACGGTTCCCGTAGTCTAGTCTAGCTGGCTTCTGCATGCATATTCAGGTCACGCGACACGACTTATTCGCTCGAATGTGGACCGACCGGTCGGTCGTTTCCATAATCATCGAATTTTCCACACAATCTCGGCGCTCTCGATAAGCGGTCTCGCCGCTTATCTGCTTTGCATCATTATATCTACCTTAGGAATGTAGACCGGCGATCAATTGTATTTTTTGCCGACAAAATCAACTCTTTGATTAAAAGACTTTTTTGCGACACAGAGGATCGTTTTATTACGAATTTAATATAAATGATATCTTGTAATAACTACGCTCGGTGAAATTAACGACGTAAACGAGATCTATACTTATGATGACACGGGAAACCGTAACGTTTACATCCCGCAATGTCGATGGAATGTAATTACACTCCATTACACTCATTGATTTTGAACTCATTTATTACGTATCATCGTTCAGACAGCAATGATATGAGACTTTTCTCAGCTTCTCTTTACTCGGAATGACCGGAAGAAGGCGTGTATCACTTGGCAAATTATATAACCATCTTGCATTTAGCAAACATTAATGTCGCGAGTGAATCGAGCAAAGATGCTTAAGTGACTTAACGCGGTAATGAATTTTCTTGCTTGGAATTTCTCGCACTGTATTCTAGCCATTAAGGAATGTTGGTTTTTGCGTGACGGTTAAACCGACGATGCTCGTTGACCCGACAGGACGTGATTGTCATGTTCGCCAAACCGACGGGTGAGGCTTCCGCGCGGAAAGAAGAGACGCGTTTTTCTCTCACACTCGCGGAAGGCGCGACTTCCGGGTAATTAAACCCACTCGTTTGCTCATGTGGATGTGCCAAGGATCATTTCGTACCAGGCGAATGTGAGAGTCTTGCCTATTGCGGCGGCACGACGCGATTAACACTGTCGGATGACTGGCGAGAAATGAAAAGCTGCGGCCCGAGAAACTCGCGACTACTAAGTCAAGCTTCTACAATCTAATAGATTTGATAAATATCACGTTCATTAGCAGGAGCTTTCTTCTTACGATCTCTTCTATCTCTCTGTTTACCTTGTTCAAAACTTACAATTTCCAACTTTATCGCGCATTATCGCTCGTACTTGCGTTAAATTATTCATATTTATCGTAATAACATAGTCAATGATTGCATTTGCATCATGACGAATATGGAATGTTTCGCGTTGTAGCATCAAACACTTAAATCGAATGATTGAAAGATTGATGACTTACTCAGGTTCCTGAAAGCCCGCTGGAAGAACGCTCCGCCGTACAGCCGTGTGATTCGCCGCGATTTCTGGCTTCACGACAACTTCGGTAATCACGCATTTTACGGTGAACGTGTGCTTGCTGGAATCTGCAGGCTCCTCCACGATTACCCGATGATAGTACATCTTTTGGCCCTACATCAGCAATCATAAAAATTCCATATCTTAGATACTTAAAAATATATCGCATATTTTATTGAATACTTAAATTGTATATAATTTAGAATAATAATTCGGAATATTAACAAATATTCCGTTACTTTGAGATCTGACATTTATTTATAATAACTTAAATTCATAATAACTTACTGTAACTTTATTGAGAACTCTTGTGATGCCGCACCGCAACATGTCTTGCTCCAGTAGCGATAATTTGAACGTGGCAACGCCGTCGTGAAGTTGCGGTTTACAAGCCTCGTCTGCAAAAATAGGTTTTCGGTGTGAGTCGTATTTGTGATTTACGATGCGGCACGTAATGTAAAGCGCTTAAGGATATTTACCTGGAAAATGTTTAAATTGTTGAAGATATATCTTTGCCTGCGGGCTACTCCTTACTATATCCACCTCCATCATCTGTTCGGTACATCTCACTTTGCTTTGCACTGCAATATAAATATGAATAATTTATGACAAAACTAAAATTTTCATACGTACAACTTAAAACACTTGATTAACAAGTTTTGCAAGGCAAGTTTTAATATTTTTTGTTCAGAAAAAAACTTATATAAAATATTTTAATTTCTTACAAATATATATGAATTTGAATATAATTAAATTGGCCTTTTTTTCAATTAGTCTTTTATTTACATTTATAGTGTTTCTGTTACTTTTTGCGTTCTTCACTTAAATTTATAGTCTGCTCGTTTAGGATTAATAGCCTAAATCGAGACATGCTTGAAAAAACGTATCTTGATAAAAAGGAAACTCTCGGGACGATTTACGATTTTACCTTATGGAAGGATGAACAGAACTTAGCTGTATGTGCAGACTAAGTTGTAGTATACCACGATAATTGCCCCATAAAGCCGTAAATGTCTCGACCTTGAAAAGAGCGCAGCGATGCGTTCGGGAAATACGCGGTGATGCATATCCCATTGGGTTAGACTCTATATATTCGCGGATCCTCGTGATAGATACTTTCACCGTCATCAGCGGACGTCAAGCCATGTATCGAAAGGAATATGTCTCGATACGGGAGAATTAGAATGTTAGAAAGTCTATGTAATTTACACGGAGCATTGCATTTTCTTCCGCAAAGCAACGATATAAATTCTTTTGTTAATTCAGGGAAGATTTTTTTCTCTACAAGAATTTTGCAAAATGCGTAGAATTTGCAAAATCGTCGAAGATTATCCTCGCGAACATCTCAAAGTAGGAAGCGATAACTTGCGCGCGAAAACAATATTCCCAGAATATCATCGTGGGCATAATTCAACATTAATCTCGTGAGATATGTTACGAGACGGCAGTATTTTCCTCGCACTTAACTAACGCAGTGAGCCGGCGCGCATCGGGCAATAATTCACGATGAAGTATCATCGTCACGTGCGCAATGCGCAACTGTTAGGGAACGTGGCGAATGTTCGCCGCGACTAGGCAACCGAGGATCCACGCAAGGATGCAGTTTCACGCGATACGTCCGACGCTCGGCTGCATCCGAGGATAAACAGTGACTCTAATAACCATCGACCACCAAGTCGCGCATCATGTCGCGATTCCCGATAATGAATGACAGAGCGAACAATCGCGCGCAGTGACGTTTTAATAATGTTCCGTGGACGTTTGCTGGTATCATTAATTTTCCCGCCGTATCCAGCTGTATCATTTTAGACAAACATTAATCTATTCGAGAAGAAAGTCAAACGTTCCATCAAGACTTTCTTTCTCTTTTTAACTAATTTGTCTTACAGCTATCTTTTTCTTATATTTCCACGCGATCGCGATCAAAACAATACGGCTAATGCCGCAATAATGGCAGGATAAATAACGTAACTGGTAGCCGGGATGATTCAATGAGAAATAACCCCGGGGATGAATTTTTCCACGGTTTAGCAGCTCATTTGATCGCTCGAGGCGATACCAGAATCCCGAGAGAAAGAGAAAAGAGCCTCACGCATGTTCCTCGCCGGGCAGCAGCACAGCGGCAGCGGCAGCAGCCGTCTCGCTCGCGCGGCAAAGATAAACAAGCGCATCGGCTGACAGACGCTGAACGACCGGTAGAATGTTTAATATACATTGTAGGCGAGCGCGCGCACGCATCAGGAAGTGCAGGAGAGACTCGCGCGTTCTTTTATTTCCTCCGTAGACAAATTGATGTTCAACGGCAGCGGCCGGTCGGGAGTCCGCCGCGCTCGCTACGCTCGGATTGCAGGACTCAGGGGGATTAGCAGGTACTATCTGACAGGCGTTGATCAAGTTCTCGGCGAGGCTCGCGCATCTCGTTGCGCGACGATAGAGATGACCGTCGACGATCGAGATGACATCGCGAACGGCGATAAGCCTGCGGAATCGTTCGCGGTATTTTAACGGGACCGAATACGTCTGCCGCGTGCGTTTCGTCGAAATGAGAGAGTTTATCTTAAAATCTCGAGCGTTCCTCATCTTCATCCGTTGACTGCAGTCGCGTCACGCACGAAGCGGCCATCGAGGACGGTCGACAAGCTCTTCCTCCTCGCTTCGCTGAAATTGTTCCGTCTACTTAATATGCGACGACTCGTTTTCATCAGCATACTCGCTCGCACGGCCGAGTAGACAACGGCTGGCGGAGCGACGCCACGACATCGGTCTTTTTTTCTCTTTTTTTGCGCGACGGAAAGAGTCATTTTCCACTTTCGTTTCTTTCGAGTCTGGAGTCCCGTCACCTTTGACACGAAACGTGCCGCGAATTAATGATTTCCTCCCCTCTGCAATCGTCACTCCGGCTCGTCCGAGACGTTTATCTAGGCGGGCTTTTATGCACGTCCGTCAGTCAATCCGTCCCGCGCGCGCAGTTAACGCGTAAATTACGTGACTGCGCAGCATGTCGCTTTTAAACATCCCCACGGTGCCACGGCGGTCTTTTCCATTAGCGAGTTTTAAGCGTTCCCGCGAAGGTAGCGAAGGCGCGAGCCGCGGCCGATCTTCTGCCGATCTCGGAGAAGGAGGTCCGTGACCTTAAGCTTCCCACCCCGCCATCCCCGCTCCTCCGCCGATGCTGGGGCTACCACTCTTCTACTTCTTCCTCTTCTTCTTTATCTTCCCTCACCCACTGTTCTTCCCTTCTTCCTGCGCTCGCGCCATGGCGGCGCGGTTCTTTCTCGGTGTGGTCACCGCGTCTTCGAAAGCGGCGATCCACTATTACGCTTCCGCGTCTGCATTGTTCTGCTAGCGAGCTGTAAATTGACCACTACATTGAAAACTGTCGGATGCGTGAAGAAAATCTTTGAACGCGGAAACCTCACACACACACAGTGTTAGCTTCATCCCTTTTTTTATTTCGATACAAGAATCCGAGAGGCGTCCGTTCAAAGTACGTTCAAAGCAACACAATTTTATTGATTATTTTTGTCTCCTTTTGACTCCAGACTCGAAAGATTAATTAAACTGAGGCTGAAGCTAACCGGTGTTGATGAGGTCGGCTTAAATCAATCAAAGTATGTCGGCATAGAATAGACCTCCTTTGCGTATTATTTCCTGCCGCTCTCGATCCGCCCCGATAATGCGCACCTCGCATTATCCCCGCCCCAAAGATTACACGCGCGACGCTGTGCTCGTGTATTATCGAGTGTAATTATCAGTATTAAATGTGGCGCACCCGCCAATCCCTCGATCTCGGTCCGTGAACCTGGCCCTTTCCTCTTCCTTTCAGTTTTTTCCGCCTCTCCCCTCTCCCCTCCCGCCATCCTGCCTCTTTTATTATTTCGACGCTTCTTATTTCTTCCGTCATTAAACTTGAGAAGGTACTACATACATCTCCGGTCCTCCCGTCGATCCTGAGAAAGTTCCGCTTCTTCTTCCTGCTTCTCCTTTACAAAGTACTCGCCGGCACACTACCGGCCACCCTCCCATCGTTCTCTTCGTTTGCTTCGACGCGCCTTCCTTCGGCTTTCAAGATTAAGATTTCCGCAAGATAACCGATAATGACCTCCCGACTGATGAAGAAGATCCGCGACCTTCGACCCTCCTCCTCTTCCTCTTCCTCGCGCGCCTTCAACGCGTAGGTTCTTACCTCTTGTACGCTTGCTCGCAAGTCGATTCATCGTCAAATACGCCAAACTGATTAATCCATCGCCGATTCCTCGTGACCCGGTTCACTCGACCCACTCTCTTATGCTCACTTCCATTATCTTCGACGCGGTTTTTGCTCGTCGAGCATTACCGCGCCGCCACTTTACTTTCGTTTTTGCTTTCCCGTTAACGCGCCTAAATCCTCTCAAGAGTAACGAGTCCATCGCCGTCGTAAACCCCGCCGTCGGTTTCGAGCCGTTTTCAGCCGTAGAGCAAGCTGGATGAAGAACGCGAACTGGTCCTGAGAAAAAGCACTGCGCAATCAAGGGCCTTCCCTTTTCCCTTTGCTCTCGTCTATCCATTCGTCATTTTTCGTTTCCGCAATGATAAAATGAGCGGCAATCGGCTGCTCGGTGACCGGTTTTATTGCTGATAACAGTGTCGATCTCATCGACTCGACAATATTTTATTTCCCCTCGACGTAACGCAGGATATTCGCAAGCTGCCGCTACCTCGTTGCGCGTTGCCGCGCCGCTACCAAGAAGTAGCGGAGTAAATTGCGCCAATTTACGATCGTCGGAATTACAATAATTTGTGGTCATTACTGCAAAGTGTTAAGATGAGAACCGAGATGAATAATTACGCTCCTTGCGCGATTGCGTTCCGCGGTTCCTGCGAAGATCGAACGCGCGAAATCGACGGTTCTGCGTGCAATAGCCGCTTTTCCGCTTTCCACGACAAAAATCAACGTGCTGCCTGCCCATTACGTTTGAATACCTCGTTGTTATCGGAAACGATTAAGCGTTAAATAATATAGGCACCAACGTTAAATCGGTTAATTTCTTAAGCACAAACATTCACGTAAGATGTAGCTTCTTCTCGAAGTGATCGCGCTTCTGTTGTATTATCACGTAATAATGATCCACCAATTTTCTCTGTACGAAAGCGAGCAAGCCAGACAAACGGTAAACTGTGACGCAGGAAGACGATATCATAGCTATTGATTATTATTCCCAGGGTGTTATCGCGTATGCATGCTCTAGCGGTGAATAACAGTATCGACCGATCGGGAAAAAAAGCGAACAGTGATTTCGCGCGGCTAGCTTTCTGACACATTAAGTTCAAAACAACATGATGAAATGTAAACGATGCAGGAAGCTCTTATGCGGGTAATCTATAATGTGACTCGTTGTGCGAACTTTATCTGTTAGCGTTATTTATTATGTATTAAACGCGAATCATCGTCAACGCGAGCCTGATAAGATTGTGAAAACCGATCGCGCGTCGCGCAAATAGAAACATAGTAGCGGAAAATCTAATCTTCGTAATGAGAAAAGTACTTTAACCTGCAATTATGCTAAGTAGAACCATCGTGATATTTCGCAGAGGCTATTTA